TAAATTAGGGACGGCTAGCGCAGATAGCCCTCGTGTAGCTTTGCGCGAAATTAAAAAAACAAAACAAAAAATCATTATGTTGCAAGGTATAATCTCAAACGTATGAATAACTTAAGCAAATTCATTCAAGAAACAAACGCGAGTTAAAATGTCTACTTGTTTGAAATATTAAAAACATAACAAAATTGTTGACTTTATTTAACATTCCAAATGATTTCTAAGATATATCATGGACGTTTTTTCCAACCAACATTTATTTCTTCAATTTTATTTCCTTTTCCTCACGTACTATTTAATCAAATTTTATGTTACTTGGGTTGACAGGAAAATGTTTTTGTTTTGTTTTTCAAGTCTCTTACATAATACATACAATCATTATCTATCTCATGGCATTGAACAGTTGTTTTTGTTTTGGTGTTCTACAGGTGATCGCTCTAATTAAGAAGAAATGGCAGCAAACTTTTACGACCTGGGGAAATGACACAAACAGAAATTACGCTGTAACAACAATGTCAGTAAGTATACCAAACAAACTGTTTTTGGTCTTGTTTGTCAGAATCTGTGATTTATTTATTTAAAAAAAAACTCTCTTTACTCGTACTCTTGGATGGGTTGTGTATTACTATATAAAATTACGTATCATTTCTTCGACTTAACACAGGAAAGCTTGCTGTTGAACATACAAGTTACCGTAATATTATAGCATTGTTGCGATGTCAGTTTAGTTAAATAGGTCTATAGAGTATTGAAACGTTTTCATCAGTATAACACTTAGATGTTTCTTCAATAAAGTAATATCATCTTGAAGAGACGAGCAAATTACTTTAAGAAAGTTTTGACTAATAATTATTTAGGAATATCCAATTTGGAAAAATTTATCAAGTGTTTTATCACTTAGTGAGTATAGGAAAAATAAAACTTGTACAGCCAACTTTGTAAGGAATGTCCAAGAACATGAAATTGTTCAGCTCAAAATGATATATAAATAGTTATGTTTTGTTTCTAAATACACGCACAGCTTCAAGTGGGTTATTTGCGCTAACAAGCACTAATTTTGAGTTTACAGAGTAGAGGAAAGACAGCTAGCAGCTAAATTTGCTTACAATGTAACCAATCCCCAAAGTGCGGAACGCGAATATTTTTTGTTTTGTTTTTGTGATAAGAGGACACGAACCATGTACTTCGGATACACAATTCGGCTTGCTAACAGCTACTTAAAGCCCGCTCTTATATAAATAGCGGCTTTCTAGCTGCTACGTAAAGCCCGATCCTATATAGATCACGGCTTGCTGACCGCTATTTAAAACCCGATCCTATATAAATATCGGCTTGCTAGCCACTACTTAAAGCCCAATCCTTTATGCCTATTTCTAACTGAGCAATATCTTTGAAAATGAGTTTCTGTTAAAAATAAATTCTACTTTGCTTCAGAATAAAAAAGCAGAAGTATGAAGTCTGGGAAACTGAAACGTTTGTTCGTTTTAACACAAAGTTTAAAATATGCTATCTGCGCTCTCTTTAGCATGCGGAATTAAACGCCGGATTTTAGCGTTGTATGTCTGTAAACTTACCGTTGACTTATTGGGGACACCTTGAAATTTTCACCGATATTTCAAAAAGACCATGACATGTCCTATATGTCCAGAATATAACTGAATAGTAAACTTGACATCGATATAATTCATATGTCTACTAAACAGTCGGGTGATTTCAAAACAGACAATATATCGTTTGCTTATGTAATAAATAATTGAATTATGAAACTAATAGTAACACAATATTTTTGTCAAAAAATCATTGTGGCATTTACACAATAGTTATAAAAGTCGGATAATTTCGAAACAGATCAAAATATAGTTTACATGTTAATAAATATTAGGTCGTCAAGACATTTATGTCGCTTTTTCAGATGAAAAACCCGAACAACTTATATATCAAAACAAAACATTCATTAAGTGAAATAGTCTCCATTCTTATCGAGGATGCTTTTCCATCTT